AAAGAATTTCAAAATTAATAAATAAAAAATGAGTATTTACTAACATTAAAAATACATTTTTCTGGTTATTCAAAAACTTAACCTCAACCAAATTTGATTCGCAAATGATATTAAAATCTCTCCGATGTGGTAGCACATCCGTATTAATATAAACATAACTTTATGTTTCCTTTCCTGAAAGTGATGATAACATTACATAAATCAAGTATTAAAGCAAAAGATCAAATACGTGATATGTTTGTGAATCAATGAAACTTGAGAAGAACAAAAAGCAACAAAACTCATTCAAAACTAATTTATTTATTGTTGCAGAGAAGCAATTCCAACAATAAAAGACATCCTTTTGGTAGCGAAGACACGCAAAGGCAATTTCTGTTCTTCTACTAGTGTATGAATATATAAGTAGATAGGCATATGTTTAATGAATTAGTCGAATAAACATTTGTTTTTTTATTCGTATATCTTTATAGAAATGATTTCGAATTATGCATATAGAAAACCATTTTTGCATATATGCTTGCATGTGAAATACACAGCCATGTGTTTATGAATGAGATTTGTAAAAAGGACATACGCCAGTTCTGTTTGCGGATTATGACAGGAACTTATACCTATGCAAGTCTAAAATGGAAAATTTCGATTCTCAGTTTTGAATTTTAAATTTTGAAATTGTGAAGGTGAAAATGTTTCTTTTCCAAAAAATTGAGCTTTCAACTCAAATATTTGAAAAGTATTTTTCTCTTTCATAGTTAGATGAACTAACATTTTTGGAAGCATGTTTTTGGTGATTTTTTCCCAATTTTTGTGTTACAAAAAATGTTGAGCTTCATATTTGTCATGTTTTACTTGTATGTGTCAACATTTCATTTCATCTGTGAAAAGTCCAAAATTTTTGTCGGATGTCACTTTTACAGATTCAACGAAAATTCAGGCTACCGTGTAAATAAGAGGAAAGTCGGTTGAATGTTTGCCTGCTACTATTGATGATGGCCCTAGTAATGCTTACACAGCAGATGAGTGAGTGACATGACATGAGAACATGAACTCACTTTATGATGAACCAAATACGAATGTAAATAAGTGCGTGACCTTTCCTTTTTATTAAGTCTGAGTTACAATATGTAAAAGTGATTTAATTTATCGATGTTTCATATCAAAATTCAATAAATATTAAATAATATTGTCTAAATCTGAAAAATGGAACTGTAGTTCATATCACTTTTTTTTCACGGTGCTATTTAGTTCTTCTCTTTATAACTTAATACCAATTGTATTATTAAAATTATTATTTATCTCTGATACAGAAGACAGAAATGCTGAAAAATTGAAATATTTTTGAAATATGTTTTCATAGCGTTGCAAATATTAATAATTTTTAGAGCCCAAATGAAGGGATTAATAAAAGTAAACGATTAAAAATAGAATAAAATATATATTTTATTAATATTTAACTCTATAGATCATTCCATTTAATAACAATGAATTTAATCTTTATTTTTGAAAAGAATTTAAATTTTTTTTCGCAGTACGTATAGGAGGGATAACCCCCAAAACTGACATATTTCACAATTTATCTCTCATCTGCATTCTCACATTTCTTTATTCTTTACCTTTGCTTTACTGCTCCACCTCTGTCTTTGTAGCCATTAGCCTCAACCTCGACATTGCACTCAAGATGCTTGCATCGAGTGAAAAGTGAAACGTTTACTTTTTAACACCTTCATCATTCGGGAGGTGACAGCTTGAAAGATGGTAGATGGTAGATTTTATACCAAAGAGAAATTGGGTTTGAGATTCATTTATACAGTTCCACATTTAGTGAAAAGTTTAAAGTGAATTGAAATTATATTATATTTTGAATTATTACAAAATTGCTTCAACCTTGAGTTATATGGCATAAAAGATTAAATGCTAAAATAAAGGTTATAAAGATTTTTTTTAAAGGCAAAGTGGTCTAAGTATTTTGTTTAACAGTTGGTTAATTATACAGAAAATTAATCGATTAATAGTAGTTATTGATCAAAAATGTATAACTTTGGTGGATGCACTTTTGTTACAAATTTTTTTTCTTAATTTTATTAAATTTAGTAATGACTTTGGGCTTTAAAAAGTGTTTCAGTCATTTCTACATTTCATTAATATTAGACATCAATCCAACTCAGACTGCAGATACTGTAAAGAAGAGAGAGAATCTGCATAACATGTGCTTGGGGAGTGCCCGGCACTGATGCACAAGCGGAAGAAACACCTAGGAGGGTTTTCATAAACCATAAGGATCCAAGACTAGATAGGCTCTATATTGTCTTTCCTTAAAAAAATAGGATTTGAAGAGACACTCTAATCTGACTAAGGGGCACAATAGATCTTTTAGGTCACGGTCCACTATCCTTTCTTTTTCAATAATAATAAATAGTATTAGAGAACTTGTATTGTTTTTTTAAATCGAACTGACTTTTTGGATATTTAAAAGTCTAACATATCTAACTTCATAATTTATTTAATTAAATAAATTTTAATATTGTATTTTGTTAGATTTAATGACTTGCAAGAAGTATTACATATCTTAATAAAATTTAACAATTTTAAATAATAAATTTATTTAGTTTTATTTTATACATAAAAACGTATATTTAATCTCTATAATTTTTATTGAAATAAGAATTTTAAATAAACTCTGGTGAAGTGCTTGATAAGAATATCTGCTTTACTTTAAGCAAAATTAAATTAAGTTACTTCTGAATTCTAACTATAAATTATCCTTATATTTTTCTATTCATGAAATTTATTTCTGTCCGTAATTGCCTAATAAAGCTAACCTTTTCCTTTCCTGTTCCGTTCTTGCGTACTTTATTACTTCCGTCAGTGTGCAATTTTTTGTCATATGAAGTTTTTTTTTGGCTGCATAATTTCCAAACATGGGTTTGTCAAAGAGAACACATCCCCAAAAAAAAAAAATAACCTTGTAATATCCTTAAGCAATTTTTGATATTAAAGGTGTTGAAAAATCTTCATACATAAATAAAGCCTCAAATTGCTTACCTACGGCAGTTGTAAATTTGCTATACCCAAACTTTTGCATGAGTTGATTGTAAATATAAGGGCATAAATCCCTCATTTAAAGGACTATATTAAGGACACGCTTGAATTATTCAAAGTATAAAAATATTTTTCTTTTAAGTAGTCAGTACTGCTCGTATTTATTCCAATACTATAAAGGTACTTGTCATTAAAGGATAAATAAATTCACGTTAGGCTTATGTACTTTGGGAAACTTTCTTCAAACACGAAAAGAAAAGTAAATTTGTATTACTTAATCTATTAAATTTTTGGGGATGGAATGTCATTAATATTATACATTTCTGCAATTTTGTCTCAATAAGTACAGAGTAAAATTTCAAGAGAACAGGTACTGAATCTACTTAATTGATTAAAGTTATAAATTTGAAAGCCATGAGGGTGTATTTTAAGACAAAAATACTATAAGGAAACAAAATTTATAAACTGCAAGGAATCTAGTAAAGCCAAGGGAATAAATTAATTAATTGAAAATAATTTTTATATTGAAATGTTAGGAAAACCTTTTTATATATTAAATAAATAGTTTGCTTTATGTAGCCATAAAAAATTCTACTCAATGAAAACATATTTTAATTGTTAAAATCAATTATTACGACAGAAACCATGTTTTTTAATATACTGTTCTAATAGAGAATTTTTTTTCTTTAATAGTTGTGAATTACAACAACAAATAACAATTTTTGTTGTTGTAGTGCACTACTTTGCGAAATCTCTCTAACAACAAACAGCTATATGGACAATCCGAAATTCAATTACAGTCAAACTTCCATAACTCAAACTTCTATAACTCCAATTTTCTATGGTTTGAACCAAAATTAGTGCACCAAGGTTTTAGAGAGCAAATTACATATAATTCTGCTTCCATAACTCAAACTTCTATAACTTGAATTTCTCTATAACTCGAAATTTTTCTATAACTCGAATAAAAATATTGTCACGTGCCAATAGGAATGTGGAAAAGTGCATTCTATAAGTCGAAATTTTGTATTTATTACGAATTCATAAATGGTTTTAATGAAGTCCCTTTTTCCAAACCAAATGTTTGATTTTCCTTTTTTTATGCTGCTTCTTTATGCAAATGCCAGTCGTGGCAACATGGTTTAAAGTAAATAAAATAACTTCCAATGCTACTCTTAACGATTATATTGAACTTGACAATGAAATTTGTACATCAAGCTTTCTTACAGATGACGATATTATGGAACATTATATCTTTGAGTTAGTGGATCCAATTCTAAGCGCAACGGAAAGTGATGATGAGGTTTGGGTGGATGTAATTGTTTATCAGCCTTTCAAAAATGAAGTAGAAGACTCATTAAAAATTCTGAATTTATATTTGCAAACGAATGATACTACAAGTGATAGTGATAAGAGTATGAATAAAGTGGAATCTCTTTTTACTGAAAATAACCCTAACACAAATTTCTGAATATTTTACTTCACTATAACTTCTGTGCTTTATTTGATTGAAAATAAGTAAAAATCTTGAAATATTATTCTAGTTTCAAAAATAAAAAAAATAAAAAAATTCTCTAACTCGAAGTCTCCATAAGTCGAACTTTTTCTTTGCAAAATTGGATTTCGAGTAATGGAAGTTTCACTGTAATTAATAAATGATATAATTTTTTTATTGTAATTCAGAAAATCTATTTCATTTGCAACAGTTTATTTACTATTTAATAGAAACTGTTAGCTGCATACTCTATTTAACAGGTGTTACCGTCACCATTCTATTTTAACATAACATTAATTCCACATTTAATTAAGATAATTCAACAAATGCGGGTCATACGTATGTATCAACTTTTTATTTAACTAATTGCAATGTAAATACATTGATGAAGTAAGTATATCAAATAAGTGTTGAGCATATCTTATATCTTTAAACAAACTGTAATTAAATTAAGTAAATATTTACTTACCACATCAATGATTTGCATAAGCGTTAAGCCGAAACTTAACTGTAATGGATCGGATTCGTTGACTACAGGCCTTTCTAGGCTGTTGTAGTTGTCCAAAAGTGAATGTAGTAGACGTTTCTCATGTGGACCAGCGAAGCAAACTGCAAATAAAGAAAAACGAATTTATTTAATTAAATTGTTGATGAAGATGTAAATAAAAAAAATGATAATAGTAATAAAACAAGTCTTAAATCAACTCAATACATTAAAATAAATTTGATGAAATCAGGGATATTCTCTGAGAGAAGCTCTTTTTCTTTGAATTATTGCCTTACTTATTTGCTTTCCTCTTATTTATTAAGTAAGACTCTGTAAATACTGATGAAAAACATCAACGCACGCACTTACTGTCGCCTTTAACAAATTCAAGTCCGGAAATGAATGCAATGACAGTAAACAAATGGTTCAGGTGAAAATAGGTGTTTGTATTGTATACGAGGTACACGTAAACAGGAGTATCTGGCCATAAAATGTACTCCTTAATGTTCCTTATGTCTCTTTATGTAAGTCGTTTCCTTTATGAGAGTATGCATGTGTTTCAACTAAAAAGAAAAACCAATATTTTTCTGTGATTTTAGACAGATTTTTGTGTTTTATATTTTATTTGCACTCGTATACAGAGTTCCTCAAACTTTTTCCGGCACGCAGCACTTTTCATATTGGAACAGTAAATTTTATATCGCGATTACAAACTGCATATACAAACACCATATATTTTGCTTTTTTGCGGTGCATTGGGAATTCTTTTGTGGAGCTCTGAGTGATCCACCGAGCATAGTTTGCGAAACACTGCTCTAGCACAACAAGTCCTTTAACATATGTGCTTACTCTTTCAATGTGTAATAAAGTCCACATTAGCACTAAACATGTTTAGCTCTATATTGATTGATTTTTATGTTCAGAAACTTTTTACATATAAATTTTATTTTCCACTCAATCTAAGAGTTATGGAGATGTCACCTGCTGAATGCATATCCAGGACACACATAAAATTTGAACTTTATGTAAGAGGAAATTTTAAAAATTTCCAAAAAAAAAAAAAATTAAAAAACTGTAAACCAACATACATTTTATATATAAATTATTAATTAAATAATTCTGTTATACTTAATATTAATTTTTGATTATTAAAGATACATCTGTATCTATGTTTTAAATATTTTTATCATATAATGTAGCAAAATTATTTCTTAATAGCGTAATTAAATTAATTTTTTATAGTCCTAATATGTTATAAAAATTAGATACTTTCAGTGGATGAGACCACAACAACTAATTGCATTAAAAATTTTAATTGATGGATAACATAGAGTCATAGAAATGCTTTAACTCAAATTGATACTGAAAAATGTCAAAACTAATTTGACTTAGTTGACCTATTTGCACTTAGTTTAATGTAGTTACTTACTGATGTAGCACAGATAAATTGATGTGACGTGACTTTAATAATAAAGTATCTGAATGGAACATTTTTATAACTTTTTAATAAAACAGCGTGAGTAGAAATGACACATTTCTGAATAATAATTATTATGCATTTTTGTATTTTTATGTTTTTAAAAAATTCTCTATTTAGAATTTCTTAATTAAAAACTATTTAAATAATTAATTTTCATTCTAATCAGATAATTTAACGTTAGATTTCTGCTTATCTGTAAACAAAATTTTATAAGAGCAAATATTAACTATTGAGAATTATAGCAAACATTGCTCGGTACTTGCAGATATACTGTATGGAAGGACCTTAAATTTCTAAACCTTTTAAGTTTATATACTCGAAAAAGAAAAAAAGCAATCCAGTTGCAATCCAGTTGTTTAATGAATTTAACCCATTCATAATACAACAGTAAAGATACTTAAAGGTCAAATCATATACCTAAGATCAGAACGCAAATACATATCTTCGTAATATAACCTATAACATATTAATCATAACACATTAAACACATTAAATAGAAAATAGGAAGACTCAACGACATACAGGCATCAATCTGACCACGCGCCGATAAAAGGAAATCCAAAATTCTAAATGAGACATCCCGTAGATATATCAGTCTATTAGTGGGTTTACTTACAGGTCACTGTAAACTAGGGAACCATGCTAGAAGATTAGATCTCCCTTT